ATATTCCCTGCTTGTTCTTGTCGGTCCCCAACAACTCAATTTTAGGAAATGTCCCTGAAAACAAAAACTGTGCAGCCAGACTCTAATTTGCAATTACAAAAATAATTATTCGGGCAGTGAGTGTATGTACGCTTTTAACTGGTTTAGCTTGAAATGACCATGATACTTGCAACAATTGCTTTTCTACATTCATAACTTAAGTCGATATAACAGATACATCCAAAAGTCTTTTCCTAAACGTTCAAGAGACAGATTCTTCCTTGTTTAGATCTCAATTAAACTGTGAATCACCTTCATGCCACACTATGTCCATATATCCCAATGAACTGAAAGACAGAAAGTAGCTGACATCCTATCATGGAGTTAACACCAACCAGTAATTTTCACCATCAAGAAACTTCCTTGTCAAGTTGTTGATCTCTTTGGTTATCACCTTTAAAGCCCTACATGGCTTAGGATCCAGATATCTACGAGACCGTCTTCTGCCACATACCTCCCAGCGTCCGATAAGATCACACAGGATGGGCCTTCTCCAGGTGCCGTCGACTAGACAATGTCACCTGGCAGCTCCTCGGGGTAGGGCCTTCTCTGTAGCTGCCCCAGCCCTATGGAACGATCTACCCCCAGAGATCCGGACCCTCCCCACTCTCTCTTGGCCTTCCAAAAGTCTACTAAGACCTGGCTATTTCGGCAGGCCTGGGGCTGTTGACCTCATGAATGAGGTCCAGCCCCACTAAGATTGAGCGTATGGTGTGTTTTTTAACCTGCTTTTCCTTTCTATTTTAAATTTTTTGTATTCTTTTTAGAGTTGTTTTTATGTAAGCCGCCCGGAGTCCTTCGGGATTGGGCAGCATATAAATTCATTAAATTTGGAATTTGGAATTTATCTTGATTTTTCAGCCTTCAAGTGAGATTTGACCCCTGTGGTCACGACTTCAAAAGCTTGCAGTTTTCTTGGCAAGATTTTTCAGGCATGGTTTGTTATTGCTTCCTTCCTGGG